ATGCATGTAAACGGTGTGCAGAGTCAAAACCCTGAAAGTACACCCTGTAGCGAGTAAAACTCTAACACAGAAAATACCTCCCCAAAACGCCTCGTTGGAGATACGTCACTGCCCATTTGATTCTTCCGGGTACCGCCTGATGTCATGCGGTAACGAAATGGACCAATCCCGAAGAGCTATGGCCACACCAGCAGCGGCGTGTTCCTCCTCCAGAGGTTCGAAGAACCGGCATTTCACAGACGAAAGCTTCCAAAACATTGCCCAGTTTGAGGCCGGATATGCACAGCTTGTTTGGACCGTTTGGAGCAGGGGAAGATCTGGGTATACAACCTGTACGTTTGCATTGTTATTTGTGTATTTATCAAACAAGACTGTTTAAATGTGTAAACTGTGTTGGACTGCTAAGCCATTGACACAGTGCTAACTGTGCTAACTAAGTTGCTAGAGTTTCCATATATCAACTCTAATATCAGCAGATGGCCTTGCATACATGTATCTCATAGCAGGAGAATGTCTGCATTCACACACAAAATACCTATTGACAGTATACTCCGGGTGATTTGCCGTGCGGTCAGTCGCGAAACGTAATTACATTATAGCTGGCGTAGCGTGTATGCAACCGATCTAACACACGGAGCTAGAGCTAGGTTTGGTCGGAAAAACATTTTTGTGATGCTACGTTGCTAGCGTTTAAATATATCAACTACAATGTCAGCAGATGGCCTTACATGTTTGTCATGGCAGGAGAATGTCTGCAGTCACACACACGGAATACTCATACAGTATACTCCGGGTGATTTACCGTACATTGTGACAGTACATATACTGCATGTATAGCTACGAGGCTAGCTGTATGCTAGCGCAAAACAATGTATTCATGACCGTTACAATGTATGACCGAACGTAGCAGACTACCCGTATAACATTGCAATTATAAACACGTTATTGCTAGCCTAATATGAACCACTAGCTTTTGTTCATAGTAGTTTTATTACTCTACATTATAGTTGCCGTTCCTCCGAGCTAACGTTAGCTACCAAGGTAAACAAAGCTAGGTTAGCATATTAGCTGGCAAGCTGTTCATTAGATTGATTAGATCAGGGGCACTCAAACTTTTTAATTAAAGGTCCACTTGTGAACTTTATACAAGGTCACTGGTCCGGATCAATGTCAGTAAAGTACCCCCCCCCCCCCCCGGAGCGGAGAAAACGAAACTGAAATTAAGAAGCAGTTTCTTACGGCGCTCTATGCATGAGGGGGTTTCCCGACATGTCGTTGCAGTAAATTACAGGGTATTTCATGTTGTCGTTGCTGTGGACCTTCTTAAAGTGGACCTGTCATGCTATATTTGAATAATATATTGTAGGACCATACCTATATAAGGCATATTTGAACCTTGGTGATCGCCTCTGATCCATGTTTGTACCAAAGATAGACGGCCTTTCCTCCTGTTTCTTTGTTCAGATTGACATCGATCTTGCTGAAGCGTCTTTTATCAAGGTCGTCCTCCTCAGCTGCATTCACGGACACTTGAAGCTCTGAGATGTAGGTGCTCATTGTGGGTTCCTGCATTAAAGAAAGACACATCATGAGTAATCACAATTGTAGTTAACTGAATCAATCTGACTTTTCAGCTGAGCTAGATTATAATCCTGACAAATTCAACCATCAGGAGTTACATTTTGAAAACAACAATGACATCTAAAACAAATTCAAATAAAAATGTATACTGCACAGAGTTCTGAAAATTATTGATTACAATGTTTGTGAAATACAAAAAAGATATTACAGCAAGAAAATAAGACCTTGTTGAACACTTTTGTGTGTCTGCTGACAGTGAATGATAGGCAGCAAGAAGTCAACTGGTGTGATGAAGTCTGTTGTACTGACCTCAGGTCAACAGAGATGCGGGTCATTGTGCAATCGTACATGGGAGGAGGCATATTCCACGGAAAATGATACTGAATTCATGTGTATGGGTGTGAGTGTTTTTATCAGTTCTGTGGAAGAACATTGAGAAAGAATTATGGTGCAATAAGTAAAAAAAGCAGGAATTTACAACACACACACACACACACACACACACACACACACACACACACACCGTACCAGTCAAAAGTTTGGACACAGCTTCTCATTCGAAGGTTTTGATTTATTTAGATTATTTTGTACATTGTAACTACAGCGTCTCCAGTGCTTTCGAACAGCAATGGCCGTGGCTGTCTCCTCCTGATTGGTGGAGTTGGCCCAATAGCCGTAGCGCCACCGTCCTGACGTCAGGACAGTGTTCAAATCTGGATCAGTTTTGATCAGATCCGTTGCAGCCCCTTTTTTAGAGATTTGGGTATGGAGGAAAATAGAGAGGGTTGTGTTTTCTGACACTTGGTGAGTTCCCTGGAACACCGGGGACACATATTCATGTAGAAAAGACGTACAAAAGTGCATTTTGCATGATAGGTCCCCTTTAATCTACCTTCTTTGGGGGCCCCCTTCTGGTCCAAGCACTTGCCTGCCTTGCCTGTCGGCAAACGGCGCCCCTGTATACACACACACATTCAATACATACATACAGTATGGTGGCTTGAACTAGTGGGAGAAATGGCACTGTTTGTCTGAAGCCAATGCTTTGAACCTCGGCAAAAAAGGCATTAGAAGCATTAGAAAGTCAATGTAAACTTGCGGTTAACTTGCGGTCTGCAATGCGTGTCACGCTCGCGCACACAAGTAAATATATATGCACGTTCATTCTCACAATGCGTCAGACACAAGACGCGCGTACACAATGATGTACATTAATTGATCAGAATCAGAATAAAAAAAATTAAAAAAAAAGATTTAAAAAAAAAAAAATTGTTTTAGTTTTTATAATGGGACACAGGGTTCGGTCCGGATTGATTTGCAGTTCGGTCCGGATCCGGACCTTGGTCCGGAGTTTGAGAAGCCCTGGATTAGATAGATCCACACTCCTACCACAACTACTACTAACGAATCTAAAACAACTAAGTTTCTCTAATATTTTGTGATTTGCATTTGATTTCGTCCAGCCAGATCCTGCCGGACAATACATGACGGGGACCGGACTACCACACTGAGGCCTCAAGCCCCGGCTGCTATAGGCAAGATGCCGACAACGGGGAGTAATTGACGATATACCGTGTATATATGTATATTTACGTTCATTTTGTACATTTCTAAAAATAAAGTTTAATGGAAATACTGTATATAGCAAACCATGATTTGATTTCTCATCAAACAGTAGTAGTTTATAACGGGTAAAAATAACTTACTCTTTGTTATGACCGGCTCGTAGGCCACAACGGAAAGACAAGGAGACATACACGAGTTTACAAAACCACGGCACATTTATTGTGGTAAATGCAGAGATACGTGGTCAGGGGAGAGGATCGCTGAGCTGCTTGGAGGGAGAGAGAGGCTGCCGTGTGACTCCGGGCAGCTGGCTAGCACCTCGGCTCCGGCCAGGTGTCCGTGATCGCGCTGATTAGCCTCTTCAGCTCCACCCCATCGTAAGACAAAGGCCCTGGGGCCGTCACACTCTTCTATAACAACAGTTAAAAATATATATATGTATATAAAATATACGGCTGTACCGACGCCATGATAAGACTGATGTTCGGCTGAGAGCAGCCGTTTAGACATGGGCGCAGCCTCTCTGGTGGTTGACTAATCAGAACAGAGTGGCCGAGCTGACCAATCGGAGCACACTAGGCTCACAGGGAGGGGGGGGCAAGAGCTCCAACGAGTCGTTTAGTGGAGAAAGTGAATACTGCTGAATACACATGCTTGACAGAGATCCTGTATGCGAAACCAATGTGAGTTTGGAAAATTGCACAGTATAAATCTATTTTAGTATACCTCAACAATGTAATTATGATCAGTGGAAATGGCCATGACATGGGCCCTTTAAATAAAGCCTTATTAGTTTGTCTGTTTTGCACATCCTCCTATCAGGCACTAAACTGTTTTATTCTAGATACCATTTACAGTATCTTCTTGATATTTTCTATTCTATATTTCTATCATTGACCTTCTACTTTCCTCCTATTTTGTATATACTCTTAATATTTAAATGTTTTCATCAAATATAACACATTCAAAAGTGCTTTACAAAAATGAAAGACATTAAGAAAAAGGCATTTTAAACAGTCATTAAAAAGCAACACAATCTACCTGCATTGCATTACTCTAAACGTGTAATAACGTGCTTTAACCAGTAGGAGGTGCGGGTTAAAAAGCTGTCAAGTTTACAGTGTTAACAAAATAAAATATACTGCTGTTTCTGGTTTAGTTTACGACGGATATATTTAGTTATTGTTTTGATATTTGTAACACAAAAGCAATGTAAAAAACCCACAGCAACACAGAAAAGATGGTCTTAACATGACCCAGCGGTCTAGTAGTTAATAAAAAACAATAATATCAAAACAAATTATTACTACTAACTTTATTGTGAAATTAAAACAGAACGGTAAAAGAATAGTTTCCGGTCTATTCTGAGGCCCGATCTCTGTAGATAAATAAAGAACTACGACAGATGTGTAATATTTAATGCAGCCAAACCATTTATTACAATGCATTCATGTGATGACTTTCAAAGAGTAAAGCAAGCACTGCTGAATAAAGTATGATTTGATCTTTTACGAAACGTTTTTTTTCATATGGAATGCAGTTGGAGGTCAACCAATCACAGAGCTTGAGGACTAATCACGGGGTTTGTCGAGCGAAGCACATGGTGTAGTCCTAAACGATAGCTGAGGATTCTGGGTAGTGTTATTATTATTATTTAGAGTCATTGCGTGCCTATTGATTTGAACACGATCCGTGTATCCATCATTTCCTGGTCTTCTCTAAAGAAGAGGGACCAATGAAAACGTTGTCATGTTGCCGTTGTTCAGCATGGAAACATTCATTAGCTAACAATGACATTATTGTTCTATTAATATAAAGGGAGGTCAGGTACTCTTTAAAACAGCTGCTAGTTATGGGTACTTTTTACTCAAGTACATTTCAAAGCCCTCTTTACTTTGACTTGAGTAAAGAAGTTTAGTCAGTACTTCTACTTTCACCAGAGTATTTTTAAACACGAGTACCTGTACTTCTACTTGAGTAAAGGATGTGTGTACTTTAACATCTCTGGTGCTTAATCATAAAAGGTTTTTCAGACGTCACTTCGTGGATCCATCAGGATGTTTTCTCCGTGATTTGATGCGTTCACACTTCGGACACCTTTTCTCCATGAAGCAGTGTTTGTGGAAGCACGCTCTGCAAACTGACACAAACACACAATATCAATACAGTTTTTATCCAAAGCGACTTACATACTCAATACCGTGGACAATCCCCACAGGAGCAATTTGGGGTGAAGTGTCTTCAGGGACACAACGACATGCTGACTGCAGTGGGGTTTGAACCTGTGCTCCCTTGATCCCAACAGCAACGCACTAGTCCACTGCGCCACACGCCTCTGTACCAACATGGTTTCTCTAATCTGATGTGGGCTGATGTTAGCTCCATGCAGTTTTGCACAAAAGACAGACTTATCACATCTTAAATCTCCTCAGAGTGGATGTTTCCAATTCAGAGAAACTGTATCTACTGCTGTCGTAGTTTTGTGGATTGAATTTAGAAAGATAACTTAAATAAAACTCTTTTTTTGGCTCTTTGTAGTCAGTGGAAACAGATTATAAACACAACACTGACATATTATCTTCTATGTTGACAAGGGGAACTTTTAAGCTTGTTTTATTTATTTGGAGAGGGCGTGTGTTTATACTTGTAGATTTAAGTAACATTTGTATTCTCTTTTTTCTCTGTTTTGGTCTCCACACTATCACCAGTTTCATTACACACCTCCTACTGTAGTATTCATTATTCATTCTTAATAAAAAGTATATCTTGAAATATTTAAATGTGACATCATTGCTGCCTATCTGTGCCTTCATGTTACAGTATCCGTTGTATATCTTGCATATTTGAATTGATATGATAAGTATTCAGTGTTTATCAATGCACACCTGCACAGCGCCTGCATGTTTCTCTCTGGAAAGGAAAGATGACGTCGTTCTTTCTGCAGAACTCACAGATAAAACCTCGAGCCAGACACAACTGTGTGGAAAAATCAGAAGAAATGTTCAAATGAAAGAGTGTATGTGATGTAGTGAGTCCAGAGGTCTGGATTTAATCCTGAAGACGGAGAAACAAGAACAGAGTGGTGCCGTTCTGTGTGGGTCCCTGAAGGCAGCATCTCCCTGGTCCAATGAGATCTCTCCATGTGATTTTGGATTATGTCAGAAAAAATTGTCTGTGTCAAACAAACGTTTATGAAACTTACACGTTTAGTTCAGCAGGAAAGTCTCCACATATTAACACCACTTTATTATTTCTGAAGTAAAAAGCTAACGTTGGGCTATAAAGGAACTACAGCACGGTCACATGACTTCACGTCACCACCGCTAAGCTAAAGGCGGCTAATGTTGGGCTATAAAGGAACTACAGCACAGTCACATGACTTCACGTCACCACCGCTAAGCTAAAGGAGGCTAATGTTGGGCTATAAAGGAACTACAGCACGGTCACATGACTTCACGTCACCACCGCTAAGCTAAAGGAGGCTAATGTTGGGCCATAAAGGAACTACAGCACGGTCACATGACTTCACGTCACCACCGCTAAGCTAAAGGAGGCTAATGTTGGGCTATAAAGGAACTACAGCACGGTCACATGACTTCACGTCACCACCGCTAAGCTAAAGGAGGCTAATGTTGGGCTATAAAGGAACTACAGCACGGTCACATGACTTCACGTCACCACCGCTAAGCTAAAGGTGGCTAATGTTGGGCTATAAAGGAACTACAGCACGGTCACATGACTTCACGTCACCACCGCTAAGCTAAAGGCAGCTAATGTTGGGCTATAAAGGAACTACAGCACGGTCACATGACTTCACGTCACCCACCGCTAAGCTAAAGGAGGCTAATGTTGGGCTATAAAGGAACTACAGCACGGTCACATGACTTCACGTCACCACCGCTAAGCTAAAGGCAGCTAATGTTGGGCTATAAAGGAACTACAGCACGGTCACATGACTTCACGTCACCACCGCTAAGCTAAAGGCAGCTAATGTTGGGCTATAAAGGAACTACAGCGCGGTCACATGACTTCACGTCACCACCGCTAAGCTAAAGGTGGCTAATGTTGGGCTATAAAGGAACTACAGCACGGTCACATGACTTCACATCACCACCGCTAAGCTAAAGGTGGCTAATGTTGGGCTATAAAGGAACTACAGCACGGTCACATGACGTATTTTATGTTGTAGAACAAAATGCTAAGATCTCACAGACCTTATTTCAGGCTAACAAGCAAAATCACAATCAGAAAGCCATTGACCTCCAGACCAGGGGACAGGAGGTGACCTCAGCACTGACCTCACAGCTCTCCACGTGTTTTAGGGCGGTGTGCAGCAGCGTTTTGGCAAGCGACCCCAGCTGACCCTTCTTCAGCCGCTGCAGGTCGTCCAATGAGAAGAGGGGGCGTCGCTGCATCAGGTGAGCAGGAAGCTGATCGAAGGTCACCTGAGAGGAAAACCTGCAGTTGTTCAGCAGCTTCTGTATGTCCATCAGCTGATCCTGGACCTCCTGCAGGGCAACAAGAAAAAAGTCAATATCAACATTTGATTACATGTATTTTAAGTATTTTACTAGCTTCACAATAAATATGTATTTATTCTATCAAAAATTATTATAGTAAAAATTTCAATATCTTAATAATAATAAATATATTAATACAAATTATTAAAATGATACTTCCATTAAAAAATCATAGTAAAAATAACAATATATATTTTAAAACATAAATTAATAGTAGTAGAAATATTCATGTATTCCTATAAATAATATCCTTATAAAAAT